AAAAAAACGTTAACGATCTAAAGAGAAGAACATCCAGAAACGTAGATACCGCCTGTGGCGGTTTTCTCCGCATAGGAAACGAACACGAGTAAGGCTACTTCCCCTCTGTCCTTGGGTAATTATCTTCTATTTAGAAAGTTTTACTGAGTGAGCTCTCAAAAAGGCGTCGTAAAAAAGACCCTAACATGAAGATCGCACATAATTTCTGACCTAGATCCGGAATTTAGGGTGCCTAAGAATCGGTCGAAACTTTTTTTTCTCCAATATTTTGTAACGTACCATGATGTACATCTAAGTTTCAATCGACCCTAATCGTATCAATTCTTATTTTGCGTGTCTCACTTGTCCCATTGTTGATGGCCAGTCCATCTTTCAATGGTGATGATTGGTTGCCTTGACACAGTCTTTTCTGACTTCCTATCAACAGTTTCAATGCAATCCTCAGTAACATCGTGTATCCATAGTTCACATAAATCATCGCATGCCACGTAAAATGTGTAATTACCACTCTCAGGAACCTGTAGAAAGATAAATGCAATATCTAAATTGACAAATGAAGGACGAAAAACGAGGCTACACGAGATTGCATTTTCGGTTACTTCTTTTCATAGAAGCTGTTTTACTACCTCTCTGTTTTTCCACCCGTTCAAGGTCACGCGATTTTGTACCAGTCCCATTGCACGAATAGAAGTTCTGAAAAAGCAAATGCACTTTTTCGACTTCTGTAGTCGTTCCGATAGTGAAACCCTACCTCAGATTTTTCTGTTGTACGATTTGGGTAAATGATGTTTTCACGAAAGCTTAACGGTGAGGCAGTTATGAACTACACAGAAAGATCTGTTGTTGACTATAGAGACGATTTTAAAGAGTTGGTTGATGACCTGTACTCACAATTATAATGAAAAACTTACCTGTAAGTAACCAGTCAAGCGTTGAATGTAATTTTCTGCCACGTTTACCGGTGCATCGAAATCTCGAAGAATTATTTGGCTTTGCGGTGTATCTTGGAAAGCAGGATTTTCGCGCATAGTTGATGCTTTTTTACTGTCGTAGTTAACGTTATACCATGCATCACGCCAAACTCCGTGGATTTCGCTGGTGAACTCTACAAAAAAAAGATAGATGGAAGCCAAATGAATGAAAGTGAACATCCCCTAAGAACAAAAATGGCATTTGAAATGCATGATGTGTACAAGAAGTTACAAGTTTTGGACGACAAAGAGTTATCAAATTATCCCTGAAGCTTTGCAATCGTTCGTTGATAAGTATTATGACTATGTGTGTATATTCATCTGGATATCTGTTCTGAAATTAGCTATGTTAACAGTGACAAGGCAGGACATTTTAAATCTCGTTCCATTATCTTGTGACCAAACGATGCGGCAACTATAAAACAAACCTGCGTCAGAGACCTTTCTCTTGCGGTTCTTTTGGAAAAGGAAACTTCGCAGACACATGTCAGAGGCCNTGCAACTGGTGAAACTTACCAATTGTGCGAATCGCAACCTGGCAAAGAACTAGCGTTACATTGCTACCAATCAACTTGAATGTCACGTAACGTCCACGCGCTGGTGGAGAACAGCGTACTTTGTAATCCCACGACTTTCCATAGGACACAGACTCGGTACAAGATTGATGTAAACTGGTTTCATCAGTGGATACGCCGACGCTAAGAATGCCATTATCTCGTGGACAGCAGTCGTGATTTTCAGTGATCTCAACAGATTCAACATAGAGGGGCTTTTCAAGGGTCACCTTCCACCAAGGGCTGGACTCCTTCTCGAAATGAAGGCAAGGGAAAAGCAATAAAATAATTCTAAACAGGAAAGCAAAGGCGAAATAAAACGTGGAAAAGTAGATAAATAATGAGAGGAACGACAAACAAGTCAAATATTCAACAAACAAACAATCATCACAAGGAAGGACAGAAGACTGTCTGAGTCACCATCAATGAAAGGTTCATATTATTTCATTTGCTTTTTTAAACGAACTGGCGATGTTTAAAATATAAGTCATCTGCTATCTCTCATTTCACATTATCTCTTACCTTTTTCGATCTAAAACATGTGGAAAAGGATCTGTCAATAGCCAGATAAGGATAATTTGGTAGTAGAACACTCGAGCTTTGGGGCAAATTTTGACGCGATAAGAGCTTTTCTGAGAGAAAAAACGGTGAATCAAAGAATCAATGGAGAAGTTACTGCTTTCCTTCGTTGATACCAGTTAATTATAAAAAACTAATTTTTGAAGAGTGAGAATTATTTTTAAAGTTTTAGGTCGTATCATAAATCGGTTTAAATGAGGTTTGTCATGTTTTAGAATGACAGTTTTGTTGAAAAGTCAATGATAACAACCTAATTGGCTATTGTATGCCAAATAATCTCACAGGAAGTATAGACTATGGTACATACCAGCACGTTTGGAGCACAGAGCATTCCTGTACGTTTTGCAATCTTCATTCTTGATTCGTGACGAATTAGCTGAGAGAACTACACAACTCTGGTGTCCATGATCACCAGAAGGATATCCACGCATCCATAAGGAGGCGTTCAACGGGTTGCCATCGATCCAAACCCAGGTGTATCGCGCCGAAAAACCAATATGCAACGTGTCCGGCTTTGGTTTCATTGCTTCCAGCTTGTTAGATAAGGCAGATCGCAAGCCTTCCCGTGATACTTTGGCTAGAGTACCACCTTTTCGACTGCAGTCTATTTGAGCGTCTTTCCATGAAAGTGCGCTCTGGGTGTGAATAGAGAAACAACCGCCATAGAGATGGAAGAAATTTGGACCACATTCGAATTGTGCTGTTACAAAAAGTTAAGGAAAGGACCTTTAATATGAGACTTCCAATACATTTTCATAAACCAAGACTCTATAAAGTCCTCTGGTTGGTAATTATTACTTATACAGACTAAGTCCTTTTTTTGGTCAGTGAAAGGTTTCTTTAAAGACCTATAAACCAGTACCTTTAAAGGTTTTTCAGCAGTTTTGGCTTTTTAAGGGACACAGTCACGGGTTGACATGCGCAGTAGCATACACTCTCTCCGAGACTTGTCACACTCGACAGCCATTATGGAAATATCGGTGAGTTGAAGAATTCTGCATATATTTTGCGTTTAAGTCAAGTTCATCCGAAGCAAATGCTCACGAAAGTGAGTTTCTTTTACTGAGGAACCTTCGGTGATCTTTTGCAAGTGTAAAAGTGCTTGTACGACGAAGCGCTAAGAAAAAAGTTCTCGTGGGTGCCTGTGCAGAGGGAGAAACGTGCTGTGTACAGATGAATGTAAATGTGGAACAAGCAATAAACCTTGCAGAAACAGGGTATGCATATAAAGTTGAATATATGCATATAAAGTTGTATACATTCACTTCTTTTGTGGCGTGAATGTCCAAGAAGCGTACGAAATAATCTGTGTATTCCCATTCTTCAGGATTCGAACGAACAGTCGTCATCTGCCTATAAAAACCGTAGAGTTCGCCCGAGGCTTACTTGTATTCCAATTATAATGTGTAG